TATATCCGAAGCTGCCCATATAGCTGCTGCTTTAGCTGCTGGTGCCCGTTTGAGTCTTGGGCTGTCCTCCCTCTGGTCCTTCCCCAAAACCACATTAGGGGCCAAGGGAGAAGGCTTGGTCACAGTGAATGCTTTTCTGTATTGTCTGCAGTTTCAAAGTGTTTTCTCTTATTTTGCTGTATTTTCAGCTTACAGTGGTTTAAAAGTTACATAATTCTTAATAAAAGTTTGATGGTTCTGAAAATGTGGGTTAGGTATTTGGGCATTTAGGCCTGCAATAAATACAGAATGGGTATCGGGAAGTCCAACTTAACGTCCGCATACCAATTATGTCCAATTATGGTAGCATAAATGAAATTAATATTTCTCAATTCCAGCAAAAGACTTTATGGTCAACACTGGTACTATATTGATATATAAGCAGATTAATATAAGGATATAATTTGAATGGGCTTACACGGCAGGGGTGAGGAAAGAACAAATTTCTGTGTGAGAGAGAGAAAAGGGCAGACTTGGACACAGCAGAAAGAGGTCTGTAGGTATCACACACTGGTAGCTGACTAATTTGGCTTTTTCGGTAATCATGCTTTTCAGTTTCACTTAATGTTTAGTGTTATAAGTAATAATTGTGTAGTATCAGAAATGGAGACTCTAAAGGGAGGGGTTGTGGGGCAGCGTGTTCTGTTGCTGAACTGAGAGGCATGGGAAGGGTTAGATGTGCACGTATTTGGGTTGCTAATTATTAAAATACGTATCTTGCAGGAACCTCTCTTTGCTGCTAGGGTGATATATGATCTGTTATTCTTCTTCATGGTCATCATTATTGTCCTTAACCTGATTTTTGGTGTGATCATTGACACTTTTGCTGATCTAAGGAGTGAAAAACAGAAGAAAGAAGAAATTTTAAAAACTACTTGCTTTATTTGTGGTAAGTGTTGAAACACACTTAAGAATAAGGGGTTGCTCTCTCAGAGCCAGAGGTAGCTGCAGACTCTCAGGAAGCAGGAGCCTTGAGCTACTGGCTGTTCCTACCTTGCATTCCTCAGCTGGTTGATATTCTCGGGTACCACATGCATAGGACCTTGGCATGCTCAGTGTACCGTTTTTTCCTAAAATCCTTAGTTTCTGCTTTTCCTGTGCTTCAAAAAATAGTTTCCTATTGAAATGGGAGAGATTTTTATGAACAGTCATTTTTTCCAAGGCTGCAGAGTGTTGAGTGGTGCCTGTGAAAGTTTTTCCCAGCAGGAGACTGGGAATTCAGCTGCCGAGCCTCTGAGGCCGGTGTGGTTAAGTGACATGGTCACGCAGCTGTTGCATAATGCACAGACTGACAGAAGTAACCTTTGGAAGTTTGCTGCAAAGCAAACATTGCTCTTGCTATCTTTTTGCCTAAAAATAGGAGGTGCATTATGAAATCCAACAAACTGAATGCAAGGTAGCTACCTTTTATTTTTAAACAAAAGTTTTCTGTTACATCTTAAGTGTGAGCAGTACTTGTTATGCCTTCTTTCTTCTTCTCACTGCATCATGGCCGCTCGTTAGAGAGTTTATCCCTGTTACTCAGTGTTCATTTAAGAATGATTGTGGCTGTTAATAAGTGCAGCAGGTTGTAGAAACAAGTTTTGGTTTTAGATCTCGTTTTCTTAGTAGCGATGCATAAATACTAAGGGTTATGAATGTGTCACTCTTGCAGGCTTGGAAAGAGATAAGTTTGACAACAAGACAGTCACGTTCGAAGAACACATTAAAGAAGAGCACAATATGTGGCATTATTTGTGCTTTATTGTGTTAGTGAAAGTAAAAGATTCAACAGAATATACGGGACCAGAAAGTTACGTGGCAGAAATGATCAAGGTGAGTTTGGAGTTTTGTGCTTTTTTTCCCCTAGATTAGACCAGCCTACTGGCATATTTGGTAAACATAGGACTCTGTATTTTATTTATTTTGTAAGCAAAAGCTTGGAGCAAGATCTTTTCTACAATAATAGGCTTAATCCAATGGCTTTCCTTTTAGAAGCATCTTCTAAAGATAATAGACTTACGACGCACTTGGCAAGACAACGTGCTAAAAGCTGAGGGCAGCAGGTCGCAGCAGGCTGCAAATGGCTGGAGCAGGCAGGGGCACTGGTGGGAGCCGCTGTGTGCTGCAGCTCCGCGGTCACTCGGTGATTGGTGTCTGTGTACCTGTGGCTTCTCAGCCTCTAAAACTCCCACATGTGTGCCAAAATAGGTGGTGGTGAGCAGTGACAGCTAGGAGACTCCTTGGTTTTAAACTGGGTGAAGAGTAGCTGTTCTCTGATGAAAACTGATGTTCTAGGGGGAATATTGTCAAGCTGGTGGAAGTATCTGAAGTATAGCAAACAGGTTAACTGTCCCAGTATAAATATCTTACACTAACTTGTAGGATTTGTTATCATATGATTTTAGCTTATTACTGAAAAAAACCCTAAAATTAATATCTGCTCAGTTGTAAAGCCCTTTAATGAGAGAATTAAAAGCCTCATCTGCCAAGCTGCAGGTTCAGAGCTCCTGGACCTAGATCCTAAACCCCAATTACTGATTTGTGTCTCTTCTGGATGGTTAGCAAAAGCTGTTTCTGATTTGCAAAACTTCCATTTGCTATTTCTTTGTCTTCAGACAAATAAATGGAACACATTCCTTATTTATCTCTAGCTTTTTTTGCCACAGAGGTACAGCCTACCTTCAAGTGGGCAATTTGTTGTGACCCGGTCAAAATGTAAATCCTACCAAGATCTCTTAGAGGTTAAACATGTTACTTTGGGTTCACTAAAGCGTATGTCCTAGTTGTGGATTTCTGCCTCTGTAATGAGGGCTTAAAGAAATCTTGTGAGCAGTCACCTGATACAGGATTAGCACACTGAGATAACCAAGTACATCGCTGCTGCTTTCTAGTCTGACTGATTATATTGCTCCCTTTATTTACCTCACTTCAGGGGGAAGCACTGTCTTTAAAATGTTTCTGCTTCTAAATTACAGTTTATCTTGTGTTAAAGCTAAGGTTTTTTTTAAAAAAGTTTCAATTAATGAATTTATTAACAAACTATTTCAGATTAATAGTTCAAATTAGATAAGAACCAGAACCCAGTCACTGAATATGCTTGCAATAAACACAAAAACTGGAGAACTTTTCCCAGAATTCCCCTTCATAGAAGTGTCAGCAAAGGCTAATCACTACGTGTCAAATGGGAGCATGGATAAATTGTGCATAGACCAAGTGTCCCATGCAGATGCAGTTTTACAGAACTGTATGCTCTAGGTAGAGGTTTGCAGTATGTCTTGTGGCTGGTGGCTCTTTGCATTTCATGAGTCAGTTTTAAATTGAGAACTAACAGCAGGGTCTCTCTGAAATGCTGCTGAAAGCGTGGTGTAACTGTGCGAGCAGTGGAACGGGAAGGGGATTTGGTCTGCACATCAGTGGTGTGCCACGAGCCGGCACAGGCACGACTGGAGCAATGGTACCATTGGTAGCAATGGGCTGCCGCCGCCCTGACACCATAGTTCTCAGCAGCGTTTTGCAGCCAATGTATTCCTTAGGGCTGATCTGGCAAAGCTTACTCTGAAAAACAGAAACAATTTCTTTCTGTCATCCTTTAACTTTAAAAAAATTCTTTTCTGCCGTAGAAAATCTGAGTGGAAAATGTGATGAATATATTTCTCTACCAGATCTGTTTTAAATACTTCTGTAAAAGTCAGAAATCCTTTTTCCTGCCTAAGGTGTATCTAGCAGCAGCTTGGGTTATGGTTCATCTTTGACTCAAGCCTTCTGTCTTAATCCCAAAAAGGCAAACGGAAAGTCTTAAATATGCTGGTGGTTCCAAAGATTGCAATTCACCTCTTGGAGGTGATGGTTTATTTTGTATTTGTACAGGGTGTGATTGTTCAACGTTTGCAGGTACCATCTTCTGGGAAGCCCACTTATGGTTAGACTGAAAAGGGATTTTCTCCCACATTTTCAGACTGAAGGTGGCACTCTAACATCTTCGATGGTGACAAAGATGGGGCATGTCTTCTCCATGGGCTGTTGCTTGGTACCATTGTTCAACTGCAATTTATACCCATTTTTAGTAGTTGAGGGTAGGAAGCATAACGTGCTCCAAACCATACTGTGATTACAGAATACACCTCAAATACACTTCACCTTTGCTCTGGCTCCTAACAGAGTATCTTTAGAAAACGCTTGGATTTCTGCCTTTTGGAGATAGTAAATAAAAAAAAAATTGCCTCTGCCATTTAGTATTTGTGGGTTGTTCCAACACCACAGAACATTACAAGAAAAAAACAAACCCAAAAAACTAATTTAGGACGCTAAAATTATATTCACCATCAGTTTGTGAGTTGCATCCAGGGCTGCTTCTACAGCGCTTTAAAGATATTTTAAGCATTGTGGTGTCAGAGGCATCCTGGACAACTTTACTTATGCCGGTTAGTGAATATTCAGGAGCTCCAAGAGTGATCTTGAATTTTGATGTTTTCTTGTCTAAAAATAATGTGTGTAGAAAGGCAGTTTTGAGGATATCCACTGTACTGGAGACGGCAGAGCTAAATCTCGCCCATAGAATTCATCCTGTAGCCTGCAGGAATCTGACCCAGCATGAAAAGAAATAGTAGCCTTGAAAATCAATTATTAACTACAATTCTTTAGTGAATTTTATGTTTCTTCATGGAGAGAAGATCATTAAGTTAAAATGCAACATGCTGAAAGAAGTCAACAGTTAAATTTGGAAACAAAGAGTTTAAGGTTTGGAAGTATTTTGAACAGTGTAAGCCTGATCGAAATAACAAATCAGTGATCTGATGAAATAAAATCTAATATACTGTACTGCTAGCTCTGATTTGTAACTATACCTTCCATAACACTTTTTTGAAACAAATATGGGTCTGTTGATGCTTGCGATCCCCGACTGTTTGTGTTGGAGTTCCCCGGTGCGTTGGCGTGCACTGTGGGAAGCCAGGCTGCAGTGGTCTTGTAGCTACAAGTCAGGGCTCTTGACAGGAGGCCTGGAATTCCTCACCAGCTTTTCTGCCTGTAAATAAGGATAATATTCACTTTCATCAGTGAGGTGAATGTGTGTGTGCTGTGAGATGTGATGTAAAACTTGGGGTATCTTAAGACTCTTCACTAGGAATCGCTGGAGCAATGCAAGGGAGAAAAATGGGGTTGCTGGTTCTGTTTGATGTAGAAGCTGAGGTGGGTAATACAGCTGAGCTGCTGCGGGGAATCAGAGCTGCTGTCCTGAAGTCCTGACCAGCGCTGGCGAGGTTGATAACCTCACAGATTTCAGGAGATGGCAAACAGAAGCTTGGCATGAAGCAGCTCCCCTTCAAAATAGTTTAGCAGTGGACAGGCTGTGGTTGAACTCGATGATCTTAAAAGTCTTTTCCAACCAAATGATTCTATGAAATGCATTCTTGAGCTGCCTCCTAATATCTACTAAATAACACAGGCAGAACTGAACTAGCGGTAACAGAGATGGTCTTTAATTCTTGGTGATTCTAAAGCCCTCCTGATGACCTCCCTTCTCATCTGGCTAAATCACTGCAGATGTGCACTTAAGATAGCGAGGCTTCAAGATGGATCAATGTCTTTTGAAAAGTGTTTATCCGGAAAGTATGCTACTGGTGCTGCAGAGCTGGCAGTCCAGGGCCTCCGGTGTTTCCCAGGAACAAAGGCGTAGGGTTCAGCTGCTGGGTGGCTTTGTAGTCACCAGGGAAGATCAGGTGATGTCTGAATAATACCATGTGTGTAGGAGGTGGGGGGATCCACTTATCGTGTTGGCCAGACATTGACATCCACACCCAAATGACTAATGTGAACTCGGTGCAACTCCCTGCAGATTAGTTCCTTTAAATGCTTTATCTACCCATCCTGTCTTGAGAATTTCTTCTTAGGTTTTCTGCATTTGCCTCCAGTCACTGCGGCAGCTTCGCCAGCAGCAGCCCCAGCACTACAGCTGTCGCTTAAGTCTTGGCAAAGGTCTGCTACAAACAGCTGTTTGCAGGCATTTAGAATAGGTAAAAAATGCTTACTCTGAAGCTCGATACGTAGAAAACCACAGATGTATTTCGTGCATGCAGCTGCAGCGCGCGCGCTGTCGCCTGCATGGACAAATATTTGCATGCGCAGCTCTTGCATACCCAAATGTGAGGATTTGCATATACACCTTCACATCAATGTTTGATCAGTGTGGGTTAGAGCCGCATGGCTGGGAGTGATTTTATGCACGCAGGTGTGCCTATTAAAAAATTAAAGGCTTGTTTGGAAACTTTTTAGCACAAAGCTTCCTAACTAGCTTTTGCAATTTCCACAGATTTTTAATCTAGTGTTTCACCAAGCAGGACCCATGTCATTAACCTGCGTTACAAAAGCGAGGTAGAGAGGTGTGAGGGATTGCCCAAGCTCACGTGTCCAGACCGAGAGCACCGAGTCCTGAATCCTTAACAGGACTGCACTGTCATTTGAAAATGAATCATTTATAAATAGGAGTGATGGTGCTGATATCCTTGAAGGAATTTGGAATGGAAATGAAGGCCAAAGATTTCCTTCTGTGCCCTAATTAACCTCTTTGAACAAAACTGGAGATTTAAATACACTATTGGGCTTTTTTTTTTTTTTTCATTTTTGCCTTAAGCTATGTGCCATACCACAATTGGAAAGTATTTATTACTGTTTTGAGTCCCCAGTGCAGCCTCTAACTTCTGCCAAGAGGTAGCCTCCCAGTAAGCAAAGGCAAGCTTTCATCAGTGCCAGGCTCTTAAAATTGCATTGTTTGAAAGTGCAAGTTTGACTTGAAGCCTCTCCTGAGGAGTTAAACACCCATCCGTGACTGTCACAGT